TGAGACAGCCCAAGCAAAGCTAACAGCTCGCTGCCACTGGCAAGGGCTCCTCCCTCCTCTCTTCACTCCCCATGAGATCTGTCCTCTTCCCTTGTACCAGCTATGGTGCTCAACCACATCAACAAGCAGAATCAGCTCATGAAGGTGGCTGAAAACTAGATTAGGGACAATCCCTTCAACAGTAACAGCAAGATGTTAGACTGTCTCAAACTCATCTAGACCACCCCTCACGCCCAGAGCAAATCAGTGTTTCACTGAGAAGCCCAATCCCAATGGCTCCGAGCACCTCCTGCTCTTTATTTTGCTGCCTATTAGTCATGTCCCCCCCAGCACTGAAGCTGCAGCAGCTTCTCAAGGACTTCCAGTTTCATATTTTGTAAAGTACAGCAAGACACAACTCACCTGGTTAACACTTTAGTGTGGGTGTTGATTACGCCGAGGGCTTCCTTGAAGTTCCCGTTCTGGATAAGACACACTACTTTACACTGAAGTGCAGTCACATCGTCTTTGCTGATCTGCAGTACTGGAGGAGAAACCAGTTTCAACACAACAATCTAACTCATTATCGGACACACTAAGGCTTTGTAAGAGCCATATGTTGTTACAGTTGCAAAAACCCATCATAGAGAGCAGTCACGTCAATTTAAAAGGGTCCTGGCGTGGCTTGCTTTGGCTCAGATCATGAAACAAATCCCATCAGGATAAAAGCAGCCAGTATAAATACTGAACTTGCCCAAAGCGACCACTGTGCTAACATGCCTGGAACAGAGCTGCACCAAAGGAGCTGTACGCACCTGGACAAACCTTTCCTTGGCATTTCACTTCCAGGCAGAGAACACAGTGCCAAAACCTGAGTGCCATGTAAAGCATATACAGGAGGAAAAACACCTGACATAGAAGAACAGTATGGCTCTAGACAGGTAGTCACCTTATATGCTAATATTTTCCGCCAGTGGAAGACAAGTAAGGGAGAACTAGGAGGGAGAAATAGGTTTGGGTATTTGATTTTTTTCATGTGATCCCAACTCTCAGATCTGCCAGGACAGGAGATGAGTCCCTACTCCCTACAAACACCAAAGAGAGAACTTTTAGCCATAACATGCCTTACATTGCAATCCCATTTTGGATGCCAAACTATCAAAACAACACATCTCAGTGTGACTCTCGCTCCCGAACACGTTATCACTCCCGAGTCAGTTGGTCCATACACACCACCACTCCTCCAATTCCCAGGGGGAAAAGCCCTCCTTCCTCCCACGATCAAAACTGATGGAAAACCCACGAGTAGCTCTGAAGGCTTGGCCCGCAGCAATGGCGGCGTGATGCAACAGAACAACTGACGGTCCCGCTGCAGGAGCGGGGCCTAGGCGGCTGCCCCACTCGGCTCCCCCACCCGCTTTCGCCTCTCCCCTAGCACAGGGAAACCTCCAGAAGCGTGCCGGAGCGCCGCTGGGCGCCCTTTGCCCGCAGCTCTACTCCCGGGGCCCGGCACGA